ATTTTAATTCAAAGAATTTAGATCAAGTTAAATATAATTTTGGCAATTAAGTAAAATAATTTTGTCATTAATAAAAACTAGTTTCGTTATTTCAGTTTCGTCAATTTCATCATATTAAGAAAGGTAATTTCATCAGGTATCACTAAGTAGAACAAATAGTTATTGCTACTAACCTTTATCAGTTGCGGACTAATGCTCGAAATTAAGTAAATAAAATGTTAGACAATATAACAGGAAAATGAACCCATATTGGTATATTGTTACAGGAAAAATTTGCCTTATAGTTATTATATTAGCAAAATGCCTACCATCTACAGTGAAGCAGAAGTGATATAGGTTTATTAGTGTATAATCAGGATAGGCTCTATAAATGATATGAGAAATGAAAGGCTAAAAAAAAAATTCTCATCAGATTATTTTAAATTTGTAGTAACAAATTTTAATATTACATAATAATTCACCTAATTAAGTAAATATGGCAGAAATATTGCAACCATTTTTTAACTAAGGTGATAATATTCCAGATTTCCTTACGAAACTTAGATTATACTTGCAAAACTAAGGTATAGATCTAGCAGATAATGTGAAAGGTCCACCAACAGGAAGAGATCAGGTAATAGGATATATAAAAAGTTATATAAGAGGAAGAATTTTAGAATGGTTCGATGATGAAATTACTACAAAGTAAAATTGGGAATTAACTAATCTGACTGATGGTACAGGATAAGCCAATTTAGTAGTAGTAAATAGATGCAATACTGGTTAGATAGTTGCTGATAGATTAGATGAGACACCCAAACAATCTGAAAATGCAATAGTAAAATTAAGAGTTGTAGAAGGTCTATGAGATAAGGACTAGTGTATAGCAAAAAAGTTGTTCTACTAATCTTCCTATAAATCTTCCAAATGCTAGTAATAGTACTATAGTAGTTGTAGCTAATATTTATTTTGGTCAAGCCATATAGTGGCTAAAAACACATTTTCCTATAGTGAAAGAGAAACTTCAGAATTTTATGTATGGAACAATTAAAAAGGGAGACATGACTATAGATAAATTATATAGAAAAATATTATGGATAGGTAGATGAGCTAACTATAGGTCTGAAGAATTATGTAAGAAGTTCTTAGGTGCTATTCTACTCCTATAGCTTGAAAAAGCTGAGAATATTGGCAAACATTTGCCATTAGATGAATTAGCTAAAAAGCTTTATAAGATTGAATTATGCTGAATATCTAGATATAAAAGAGATAATATATCTGATCTGCTAATATCTAATCGAGCATCTTAGCAAATATATGAACCTTCACCTGTTTCAGCCTCACAATAGCATGGAATATCTTTAGAAGATATGCAAAAAGCAATTCAAAATGCATTAGCACAACAAAAAACTGAATACTGTATAGCACTGCTCAAGAGACCTCCTTTTTCACATACATCATGATAATATACCTGGGTATTTTATTAGACAAAAAAAAATTTTTTTGATCGAGACCCGGGTATAATATAATTTTTAAATGAGGTAAATTGATATAGACCCAGGTATTTTATCATTTATATTACCGTACTTGATTTAACTAATATTTTATCATTTATATTACCATACTTGGTTTAACCAATAACAGTTGAAATTAACTTTATTATTAAAATTTGTGTTACTTAATTTAACCAATAATTAATAATTGATAAATGTATTACTTACTTACAACTAATTTCATAATTCATGGACCATTAATAATTTTTCAGTCGCATTCAGTCGCAATTTATTAGTGGTCCACGAATTATGAAATTAGCTGTAACCAATAAATTGTGTTTTGCCGATAAAAACAAATTTTTATATGATAATATACACGTTTCAGTAAAAAAACCTTTCTACTATAAGACACTTTATTATGTAATATTCTATTATCACAACAGTACATATAAGACTTATAGCTTAACTCCAATCTTGAAATACAGTATGTTGTTCATTTTCTTTATAATAGTTTTCTTCAGATTCACTTCCATTACTATCTCCTAACTCACTTTCATTACTATTCTCTGGTTCACTTTCATCACTTTCTTCTGATTCACTTTCATCATAATCTGAATCATTTTCATCACTGTTTTTTGTATCATTTTTGTTTCTTTCATCTTCAACTTCCCTTCCAAGATTTTTTCTATTTACCTTATTTTCTAATCTATCAAAATCAAAAATTAAAGCATCCTCTGTACCATCTGTAGCATTAGAAATGCCACAACACTTGAATGACCGCCTAATCATATTGATGTTATCAGCATCCTAACCTTCTTTTACCCATTTGGCTACGAGTGAGTAGGATGGTCTTTTAATTTTTCCTGATGGGGTATAGGCTTTAATAGCTTCACATATCCAGTTGTTATAAAGATTTCGTACCTAATTTCAAAAATTAAAGGTTAATTTAATAAATTATTTAATTATTTAACTAGTTACAGTAAATTAATTACCTTTGATTTAAAAAATCTATTCAGTGACATATCAAGCGGTTGTAAGCGAGATATCAGGCCACCTGGGATAACTGCCAAATCAGTTTTTTTTCACAAAATCGTTGCTTTACCACATCAGTTTTGTGTGCAGTAAAAGAATCCAGTACCAAAAGTAACCTTGGGTTGTTACCTCGATTTGCATGTTTTGTCCAAACGTTTTTCACCCACCAAATCATCTCATTTTCATTCATCCAGCCTTCAGGATTAGTACGAATTATCACACCATTGGGAAATTATCTTGCGGAACTTTCTTGAGTTTAAAGATGATAACTGGTGGTAGTTTTTTCCTATCAGCTATGCATGCTAAGACGACTGTGAAATTTGAACGTTCATGTCCAGTTGATAGAATTGAAATGGTTTTGGTACCAGATTGCTCAATTGTTGTGTTACTTGGTAGGTTGAACGCCATTGGTGTTTCATCCATGTTTCCTATTAAAGATAGTGGATAATCATACTCTTTTCTACGATATAAAATATATGAAAGGAACTTATGTTGTTGTTCAATGTAATTTTCTGGAAGTTGTTGAGCAACTGTTGTCCTCCTTCTATTAACCAATTTATGCTGAGACATAAAGCCATCAACCCACTTTTGAGAAAATTTTGCATTTTCTATATCTGGATATTCAACTTGATATGATATTTTTTTAGCTAAAGAATATGCCTTGATTTGAATCATAAAACGAGTCACCATTTTTAATTGTTTTTGAGATTTTTTTAAACTATTCTGCAAGTTCATTTTCAAGGTGAGGATATTTTGAACGTGAACCAGTATTTAATCTCTGAGTGTAAAGAGCTGTGTTTAAAAGATTTTTTATTTTTAATCCATTCGCGAAGTTGTTTAGGCTCAATACCATATTTATTTGCTGTTGAACGTTTGCTGTGGCCATTTTCATGATACATAATTACCATTAGCTTCTCTCTTGCTAACCAATGCTTATCCTTTCTTTCTGTAATTCTAGCACGACGAGCTCTGAAATTTCCACAAACCATCTTATTATTATAAGTTTTTTTAAGACACTCTGAAATTTTTTTTAGTATAGTAAAAGAAAATTATTGAAGAGTAAAAAATGTGACACGGTGATTGAAAAAATAATCTTAAGTGCATTTACGTGTAATTTTATACATTATTTCTCTCAATAAAAATAGCTAATTAAAGCATTTATTCTTTCAAATATTTCCAATTCAGTTACTAACAAATGCGATATTATAATAAAAAGGGAATTTTAAGTGCTATTTACAGTTTTGGCAAATTTGTTGTAAAATAAGAAGAAATTTGGGAATTTCATCAAAAATATGGTATTAGTAGATTCAAACTGACATGAGAGTAAATGTAAAATTAATTTAAAAATGATAAAATTTACATGTTTTTTTAATTTTATAGTTTGTTATAATAAAAAAGAAAGTTTTAGAACTTGGCAAATTTTATTATAAAATAAACATTGACGAATTTGAATTAACATAAAAGTGATTATTTTATCATTTTTTTTTTGCAATCAGCTGTATACAGTTTTGTATTTCAATATAATATAATATCCCTGTGATAAAATACTCTCCCACCCAATATACCCTACATCTCATAAAATACTCACGGGTATGATTCAATTTTAAAATCGCTAAAATTGATACAGACTTGGGGTACCTTAGGCAGTGCTATACAGTACTAGTCTTTATTAGAAAAGCAAAAATCTGATTTTCAATCACAAATGGTTCAGCAAGTATCTATTTCACAAACTGTTAAACCAATTAGATAGCCAAGGAGTCTATCATTTTCATTGAAAATAAATGAAGGTCTCAAGAATTATTATGTAACTGAATATTTAAAAGAAATAGGTCTACTTAATAAGGAATATTTAGATTCTGATTATCTTGTAATACCTTTTAAAGATCACACTCACAATAAAGCAATATCTCTAATAGAATTGATAGGTTAGAAGAAGAAATTAATGAAACTCGGAATACTGTAAACCAGTTAGCTGATCAATTTCAGAGAAAGGCATACATATGAAAATGTGGAATTTGTGGGAAAACAGATTATAGTAAAGAAAGTTGTCCAAATAAACTGATAGCTTAATCTAATTTCACTTAGTCTTATTTTATGCTATTTAAACCAATAATCCCTCAATGTATACCTCCCGATTCAGATAGTAATAATAATAATAGTAGTGATTATAATGAAGAAAATAATAAATAGTATAATATACCAAAAAAAAACAGATACCAATAAATAAAAGCTTACATAGTGATTCTGCTATCTATTCTTTCGATCTAGTAACTAGCCAACCTGAAACATACAATCAGCTATTGTCTAAGCTTTCACCTCTAATATGAAAATTGTTTTTGTTTTTGAAATTTACACAACATTATAAATCATGTGATGTTACATATCATTATAAATAGATTTTATATCATTATATGTGAATATTGTTATATTGTAATACTAAAAGTATATGTGATATCTGTAATATTTATCATAATACAAATAAAGAGATTTATTAATTAAAATCAATATATAAAGCTAATTTAATTATAATTATTTTGGGCAAGATATTTTTTATCATTATAAGACATTATCATTATATGGGAGCTGATCTATTAAAAATGGGTTATGGAAACCTTTTAACAAAAAATGAGATTTTGATTCATATTATAGTATATTAAATGAACTTTATTTGGTTAAATTTTTAGAG